CTGTGACTCATCAAAGTCATCATTGTCAAAAATATTGACATATCGAGAACTGTCACGGCCAAAAAACTGGCACGCGTCCGTCCTCCGTAAGCGCCACCGCGCGACTGATTGAGATTGTCCAAGCCGTCATGGGCTATTTTTTCCACATTTTTTAACATAGTAACTAAATAAGACGCAATATAAAAATTTCATCCGTTAAAAGCCCTCAAGTTATTTCTGAACTTTAGTTTAGTAAAAGATTCAGAATCTCAAATCGCTTATTTTAAAAATAAAACCATTATTAGAAAACGAATAGAGGTAACTTTGGGAATTTATTCTATCGAGTCAACTTCTTCAAATCGTGTTTCCATCCGTTAATAGCCCTAGAAAATATCCTCAACTATGCCCAAAAAAAATCTTAGCCTTTTATTTTACTGTTTAGTACCTCAAAAATGAAAAATGAGAACCTCATTTTCGCCATTTTCACTGTTACCCGGCCTTAAGGGCACAAGAGCGCGCGGCAGGTCGCCCATGCGCTGGACTGATCAGGTCAAAACCGCAATCAATGGTCTACTCCACGAGTGCACAAGAAAGGCTGCAGTGCGGGATGAATGGCGACGGATTGTAAGGCTTGCTACCAGACCGGGTGTGACGACCACGACCACTCTGGTAAGAGTGTAGTGATGAAAAGAAGAAGAAACGCCAGAAAGAGTATTATGTTTTTTATACAGTAGGTAATTAAATACTAGGTAAATCTACATAGCTACTTCATTTTTTGTTGCAGTACGGTCGTTTTTCTCACCCCATATACTCAAAAGAAGGAGGATGGCCTCCAGTGATTGAGGAGCATATTATGAGAAACAAGAGTTCTTCGGAAGGCTTCCATCAGTCAATACTGCCTGAATTTACCGATGAAGAGAAAGAGCTGGTCAAAGGTTGGTAACTGAATAAGTAGAAACCATTGTATTACTTTTTTATTGAAAAAAAAAATGCACTTTTAAGTCCTAAGTGTTATGCTTGAGACCACGACGTCGTCTACAGTACCTCTTGAGTAGGTGATCGATAGGCTCAACTGCAATAATGGATTATTTGGCCTGCACTCACGCGGTCCAGACGGGTTGAGGTCCCTTTATTTAGGTACCTCTTAATGCAGTTCACTACATTTTTAGTCCCACTTAACCCCTCGTGATAAGCTAAATACTCTTGTCTTACGAGTGGTTTCACCACAATAAGTAGTAGGTACAGCAGCGGTGGGATTCAAATCCGCGTTCCTAGGAACTCGATTTGGCCAGTCTGACACCAACATCATTGGGGTTAATACCCCAACGATAATTCGTTAAACTATACTGAAACTGATTTATCATTGGGCTATTGTCGCTTACATAAACTTTAAACTATAATGAAACTGATTTAAATGTACACTTAGTATGCAAATAAACAATTTGAATTTGAATAAATATGACATTTCCCAAGGAACCTTCGACTTCTACGCTATAAACCACTACACGAGCAGAGCCGTGCGCAGGCGCCGCCCTGGGGAGCCACACGGTGGGTTCCCTCTGACCGGAGCCCCTGACCTGGACCTCTTGTTTGAGAGGCGCCCCGACTGGACGGAAGGCAACGAGTGGCTGTATGTGAGTAATTTTGGCAGATCTACCTGGTAAATGGATGTACCCAGGCGGGGAGGGGCAGGGGAGCAAGCGTCTTCCTTGAAAATTGTTTGGCCCTTCTTCTAAACGCGGGTGATCACGGCTAAACAATCGGGGCGCTTTAAAAGTGAGTGATCTCGCGATGGGCCAGAATTGCTTCTCCCTAGAAGTTAGACTATCGACCAGTAATTTAAGTAGGTAAAAAATAATTATTACGTACTATTACTATGGCTATTTCCCCCTCCACAAAATGTTTACGAGGTAGGGACACGATCAAGTATCGTCATTTTTAATGTGACTTTATAGTTTCAACCGAAGGACGTCCACGGCTGGACAAAGGTTTTCCACAACAACCGGTCCTGCATTATCTGTTCCTTAGGACTTAAAATAAGTACTTACCTGCCCGTAGAAAACTATGGATATGAATGAATGAATATTAAGTTCTCCCTCAAAGTAGCTCAGGATGGTAAGAGCGTCGCCCGGTAAGCGATAGGTCATAAGTTCGATTATTATCTCAGGCTTTAACACTAGNGTGTGTGTGTGTGTGTGTGTGTGTGTGTGTGTGCGTGCGTGTGTGTCTGTGAGAGAGAGAGAGAGAGAATTTAATTTAACACTAGAAGAGCCGGGCTGCATGCTATACCTTCAAAGACCGCAGCGGTCAATTTGACGGTACTAGATATTAAGTGAGAATACTTTGAAATTATTACAGATTTTTAATAAAAAAATTAAATAAAAATAATACAAATTTATTTTTTAATAGTAGTAAACAATTTAGAATTAAAGTTAGTAACATTTGTAACAAATAATAGTTTTTTTAGACTCTTTTGTACATTTTCCACAAACAGCTTTTTTACGTGTTTCATTTTTTTTACAATTATTATTGATTTGACATTGCCACCTCTTATTGTTTGTAGTACATGGTTCACTTGTTTCATAATTAGTTTATTGTCTCTGATTCGCAGTTGAAGTGGATTTTTTTCACACATACTCTTCACGTAGTTCACTCACTAGTTGAAGGATAAAATCATGATGAGAAATTTTTATTTCTGTGACTTTTTGATATAGAACCACGAGTTTATAGCTGCTAAATCAAGTATATTGTAAAAAAAAGTGAACAGGCCATCTCCGACTTCCAGCTCTTACGGTGTATTTGCGTGCCATTTGATTGATGATGTCTACACCAAATTTTGTAGCATTATAAAATTCAACTGTTTCAGGCAGCTTTTTTTGATCAGTACCTATGCTTACGTTGGGGTGTAGAATATACTCAAAATAATAACAATTTTTACTGGTTTTCCTTGATAGGTAGTAAGGGTTATATCAGTCTCGGTTTTCATTATGAAAGTTTCATATCTTATAGTAAGAATACCTTTACAAATCGGTGGTACTTCTCTTCTTGCACGCCGCATTGTTCCAACAATACTAGTCTTTTCGAGCATTAGTTTTTTAGCCAAATTTAGAGACGTGAAAAAGTTGTCAGTGGTTACGTTTCGGCCCTTTTGGAAATAGGGTTGTACTAGTTTCGAAACCACATAACCACGACTGCTCACCGAACTAAACCAATGTCTACTGTAAAATGTAAACAAGCTAGGCAGTAACAACTTACTCAGAATTCAATTCAACATAAATAAAAACAAAAGTACCCACATTAGTTTGAATAAATCGTTGTTTACTAATCTTATCGCTGCCTTTATATGTATGCCGCCACATTGACGGTGCGCGGTCTTAGTAGGTATTTGTCATCGAAACTCATATACAACATACTGTTATTTTCTTTTTCATATAGATTTAGCTTAACAATAGCAAATTAGGAAAAGTCATAAAATATGAAAAGAAACAAAAACATAGTTTGTGAAATATTTAACAATGAAATTGCTTTGCCGCCAATTTGACTGCCTTGGTCTTTCTAGTGTTAAAGTAAATGTTCAAAATGTCCGCCGCTGACCTGAATGCATATTCGACAACGACNGTTAAATTGCCTTATTATCACTATTCTCGACTTTACAGATTTATCCAGAAGGTCTTCGCCGTATGCTTGGGTGGTTGAGGGATCAATACGGGGACATACCAATCTTGATCACAGAGAATGGGTTCTCTACTGCTGAAGAGAGCCTGGACGACCACGACAGGGTCCAGTATTACAGGCGTTATTTGGAACAGGTAATTATAAAGTATTTATAAATTTAGACAAAAAACTGGTGAGTGCACATAGGGAAACCCTCGTTACTTTGTTCGTTTCAGCCACAAGACGCCCACTGCTGGACGAAGGCCTCCCCCAAGCATTTCCACAAAGACCGGTCCTGCTGCGCCGCTCGCATTCAGGGAAACCCTTATAAATATTATTCTTGTTTTTTTCAGGTGCTGCTTGCAATAAAAGAAGATGGCGTAAACGTGATAGGGTACACGGCTTGGAGTTTGATTGATAACTTTGAGTGGATGGACGGATACAAGTGAGATTGTTTTCTAATTTCTTCAAACAGGATGTCCCAAAAACAATGGATAACCCTGCAACCATCGATAGACCTCCTCATGATCTCTTTCATATTAAATTATGACCTTGGTAAAAATATCACACTTTTCCACGCTAAAGAATACTTACTTATTGTTTTTGGGACACCCTGTATCAAAACTTAATGCCGCTTCTTGCCATTAGGGAAGCCTGGCTTCTAAATATAGAGACGTGCCAATGGAAATCCAGCTCTATTCTCTTGTTTTAGGACTAAGTTTGGACTGTGCCATGTGAACTTCTCGGACCCGCTGCGCACACGCACGCTGCGCCGCTCGGGGTGGTTTTACGCTGACGTCATCAAGCGGCGGACTCTGGATCTTGATAGTGATTATAGAAATTATGAACTTTAGTATGTGTCTTATATAATAAAAAAAATACTTTGAATTTGAATTATTTCTATTATTTTGTCATAATCTACCCCTTACCTACCCCTATGGCTTGAGCTCGCTGTGCTCAACCGCTCACTTGATGTCAGTAAAGGACCTGCTGCGTACGCCAACCAGCTGTTGTAACTAGCTGTAACGATTAATAATAAATATAGCCTCCTCCTTTTTTGAAGTCGGTAAATAAATAGTTTAGAGTAAAAAACAAAGGCAAGTTCAACGATTTATTGTGTTGCAAAGACAATTTTATCAGGCGCTATTAATAAAATGTGATTTTATTTTTTAGTTAATACGTGATGATAGCAGAATTTTCCTGGGTATGTGTAAGGTATTAGGTAGTTTGAGGGTCCTCCGATTGCCAATAAACTTGGCAGTGATGAATTTAATGTAAAAGTATGCAAAGTAACAGCTAGGAGAATCGGAACGCAAAAGGTCAAATTTTGTTGACTGACAGCGATTTGACAACAGCTGTCACACGCTGACATGACAATCATCTGTGATTCGAACAAAAATATTCCTCGAATATTACGCGATTCTCCAGTTTTCTGCATCATTTTACTATAAACAAAGATCCTTATGTTTAAATTTATTCAGCTGAAATACTCGCTGACAAAAACACACAGTTGGTTGCTCACCTAAGTTGACGCGTGTGAAATCAGTCAAGCTTAACTGAGTGGCTGTTCTTAATTTAATTTGGTAAAGATGTCGAAAATAAAGAAGCTTACGGGCTCGTTCCGCTATACGCAATGGGACCCGTGTCTAATTGTCTCCCAGATAGTGGCAATGCAGTCTCTGTTGTACCTCTCTCTGTGCCTCATCATGGCTATCATGCAGGATTTGACTGACTCGACCAGAACGCTGGACCACATATTCGAGTATCATGTAAGTTTTGACCCATTGTTTACTTGTCTTCAATAAGCTAATATACAAATTCACGATCTAGTGAAGGACGCGGGAAGCACCTGGATGCGGGCAGCTCAGTATCTGTGGTTACAATCCTTGGGCGAGGCCTTTGGCGAGCAGTGGACGTCTTTTGGTTGAAACGAGATAATTTACACATGTATACCTACTGGTATAGTGTTTTCTTTATCTTTATTTTGTAATAGTTCATATGAATAAGTATAAATTTAACATTTCAGGAGATCCATGTGAAAGATAATGAGGGCAGGTCGGTGATAACAGCGTTCGTGCTAAACGCAATCATCGGAGCTTGTGCCCTTTGGACGATTGTGGGCAGGACCAAACTATGCTTAGATTTTAGGTAAGTTTAAAATTAAGTCGACAACTAATATGTCTCAAAGTAAAATTATGTAAGCTGAGCCTTTAAGCAAGTGCCTCTTTCTTATTCATTCGGGATAACACTGTTACCTGTTACTAACTTGATTTGGTATTTAAGTAAATACTACCCTAGACAGCATTTACTTTTGACATTAAGTATCTGACTAGAAGATCAAGGTCAAAATCTTGCTCAAAACCAAATAAATCTAAGTAAAAGTAAAATGTCAGTCTTCTTATTACATACCTACTCACTTTACATGTAATTTTATTTCCAGTTGCACTTTTTACGGCATTCATCTCATCGTCTGCTGGATGTACAACGGAACATTCCCCACAACATTCTCCTGGTGGACTCTAAACGTAGCTTGCGCAGCTATAATGTGTGTCACCGGAGAGTTCCTGTGTCTCCGAACGGAGTTGCAAGCAATACCGTTGAGTAACATAGGTGCTAAAGTGGATTTATGAAAATTAGCTCGTTCAGGACTCTACAGTGACTTTAAAACTCAGATCTCGAACCTTGTGGGACTTCACACGAAACTGCGAGCGAAGACTGTAATGTAGTGTAGATATTGCTGCGCCAAATTTATGTTTCGTGAATAAATTAATTAATAGAGAGTTTTAACTAACAATAAAACTTACCTATTATTTTTCCAACAATATCCGGAATCCATCTTGTTGAGTAAAGCCCCTGTCTTTTTTCATGGTTTTTTTCCCGTCTTAGCAACTTCCTCCCTTCGACTTCCGGCGCCACCATCGCTCGTTTTGGTGGGGGTAATGGCGGCGACCGGAATGTGGCGCGGCTTTTTGATCATTATACTTACTCACGATGTACCAGGTAGGCATTACCTGGATTCCGGATATTGTTGGAAAAATAATAGGTAAGTTTTATTGTTAGTTAAAACTCTCTATTATTTGTTCCGTGCCAATATCCGGAATCCATCTTGTTGAGTGATGTGTTTGTTATCTCCTGGTAGTCAAATGATGATGCTATGTCTTATGAAAAATAAATATAGGTTAGGTATAGGTATATTAAATTTATATATTCATGATAATAAATGTATACTACAAATCATAACGCAAAATCTAGTGTAGGTACTTTGAATAATCTATTAATTTGTAACAAATTACTGGACCGGTTCAAAGAAATTAGGTAAAGAAACCGAGTGCGATAAATCAGGATCATGCTTGATTAATTATTTCTTTTTGTTAATAGGTCCTAAATGTATACTTATACATACTCTTGCCTCCAGTTACCGGTTGCAAGAATCTGGTCTACTGGAAAATGTTCTAGCCAATTTAGGGACGCTACGGCAGATCGCACAGAGCCCAGCGGGGCCTCCACGCCTGCGTCTCGCAGCACAGACTTGATCCAGCCGCCGAGAACTGTTCTGGATGTCGGTTTTGGGTCTCCCCTCGCAGTAATAAAAAGCACGCAGTAAAAGTAAAATCAAAATATTACCTTGTCGCCGACGATCTTTTGATATTGCAATCAATTGTCGAATCCAATGCACGCAGTCGAGGTTTTGGTTTGAGTGCTTCATAAGTTTCCAACCTGGGCCCCGATTACGCTAAAAATGTTCAACTTCAACGTGCCCGGACGTCAGCTGTTTTGACAAATTCGAATCGAAGAAATCGAAGAAGCGCGTCTGTATTGGAGACGTTAAAAATTAGCGTAATCGGGGCACTGATTGCCTGTAACTAAAGCTGTCGTTTTAGATCCATATTTAGGCCACAGAAGTATTGAATCGCCCTCGTCCACGCACGACTCTGGGTCGATCATCCATCAGTAGGATACGATAGTGTACTCTGCGTCCCGATGCTAATAGCAATAAAATCGCAGCACTACGGGATAACTGATATTTTATAGATTACTAGAATCAGGTGCACTATTTTCCAAAAATTTTAATAGCGCCTTTACATTCCAGACCACTAAAAACAGCCTTAAGAATGCTTGAAAAAAAAAAGTTAGATGACAAATTAGTATTTGTGAAAGTCGTTATGACAGATTTGTGACCACAATTGTACGATAAGCCAAACCTTCGGTGTTATGCAAGTGTGCCAGATAAAGAGCGACTTGCTCCGGGCTCTGACTGGTGTAGGAGATGGAGTTAGCGCCGCACCAGGTTTTCCATTTGTTCCACGCCGGTCTATAGGTATTTAAGAGCGTTTACGTCTAGCGTGGCATGTCAAGTTTAGGTAATTTCGATGCTATTTTTATTCACACTAAAATAATTATGACTGTGTGCGTGTTCTCACGCTCTATAGTCAAACCAAAATACTTTGATCCACCATCGTAAAAGTGTGCCAGGCTGTCAAGTGACAGCCCAAAGAAACTATAAAATCTTCAAATCTTCCAACACCGACTCTATAATTATAAATAATGGTATACATTAGTCCTAATCAATAATAAATACGTAAATTCTTTATCAAATAGTAAATTATCAAAGGTTTTTTACTATTTTGAGAATATTTTATAGCTTGTAAACTGACGCTAAAGTGGAATTTACAAAACCTGTGTGGACTTATCTTGATATAATTCTTGAATACTAAACTAATCGCAATATTTTCTCAATTAACTATTTAGATGACGAAATTGCCTAACTATTTATGCCTATAACATATTTGTAGTATTACTGGTTAATGATTGTAACGAGTTGAAAAAGTACTGTTTTTGCGCCAAACGGCGTAAACGCTCTTAAAGTCGATTTCCGCCAGCTAGACATTAACAGAGACGTTTCTTCTTGCGACCAACCTTTTATTTTTTGGATTTGGGGCGGATGCTTCTCGGTTGTCGTGTCGATGAGTACTCGTTCTAGGTTCGGTATGTGGTATGGTCTCCGAATGGCGCGGGTTCGAAGGTCCGCTCTCCGAAAGACCTTGTTCCAGTTCGGGGTGATCAAAACATACGGACCTTTCGCCGTGTTGAGATACGACAGTACTTGGGGAATCAAATTCGGCGGAGGGAACAGCCACGCCAGGTCGTAATCCCACTGCTGCAGGGAGGCGTTGTGAAAAATTGCTTCGTCGTCCTGCGTGTCTATCGTTACGTACCTCTGAACCACGTGAACCGTCTTCGATGCGAACAAGTCCACTTCCCGCGTTTCCCACATCTGGAATATTACATTCGAGGCTTCCTCGGTCAAATTCCACTCCGAGCAGGCCTGGCCCCGGCATAATGGGAACTTCGCAATTGAATCTGCCCGGGAAGTACTGTGCCGTCGAATAAATATTGAGCTGTTCCATTACTGTCAACAGTCGCCTTCGATCTGGTTCCGCCTTCCTTGTTGACATACGCCACTACCGTACGGTTGTACGTTTGTAACAATATGTGAGCATTCTGTAGCGACTCGCTCTGTTGTATCGCCGCGAAAACTGCATAGAGCTCTGTGAGGTTGGGATGCCATGTGAGTTGTTTCGTCCACTGACCTGACATGTTGACATCTCCCAGTTGAGCTGCCCAGCCGTAGTCAAACGCACCGTGGTCAGCAGGTGTGATATCTGGGCTGTATGTATCGCTGACGAGTCCCGTACGACTTTCATCCACCAGCTCATCTCGGTAAGAACAGGTGCTGGTATACTTACTCGCCTGTAGAGGTGCGCTTTGGGAAGCTGTCAGCTGTAGTACTGCATAGTCCGACAGTGCAGTCGCCCTCTGCGTATGACGAATGAGGCAAGTTGAGTCTCCCCAGAAGTGACTGGGCTTGTCGGAGAGACCAGCTGCCCCTGGACATCTGACTTTGAAGGGCCATTGCGTAGCGTTAGGCGCTTCGGTTCCGACAGGGACTTCGTGTTGAGTTTGGTGTCCCATGTAACTCCCAGAAACTCCAGGCGTTGAGTCGGAACCAGTACAGATTTGTCCAAGTTGATCGTTCATCAGATTCGTCGCATCAGGCTCACCATAAAAACGACGTGATCGTGTAAAATATGGCGAGACTGATTGACCAGCAAGAAAACGTCCAAATAAACCACATATCTGATATTGTGACGTTCTCGGTGCCGATGACAGGCCCAACGGAAGGCAGGTCATCTGGTCAGGAACCTTCAATGCTACTCGGCTATAGGTAGATGAAAGTACGCTTGGCTGAGATCCACCTTCACCATCCAGTCTTCGCTCTGTAAGAAACTCGGCACGCGAAAATGACTGAACAGATGAAACTTTTTCAATTTGACTTTGTTTAACTGTTTCAAATTGAATATAGGACGAAATGAACCGTCCGTATTTGATTGATTAGGTGAAATAAGTGGTGGCTTCATCAGTTAGGCAGGGAAGTGAGATATTGGTTTCTTACCCTTATAGACTCGCTCGTTGTTGTTGTAGATGTCCTGTTGTCAGAAGACTTGCCATGACCTTTATTTTTGTCCTTCGAGCCTGAAGACTTACCTTGAAAATTGTTGCCGCCAGATTGTTTGCTCGTCGCTTCAGCTTCAGCGTATTATCGCAGGAACGATTTCGTTTGTAGTAGTAATGAAGGTGTTAGTTTTTCGGCCTCCCAATTTTTTGAAGGTATTTGCCAATAAATCGCCATCAAACAAATTCTCTGCACTTGGAGAAAATCCTCTGAAATTTGCTATAATATACACTCCCTACGCATGCGAATACAGTCAGCCCTCCTACCGCAACATATTAAAATGTCATCAGTTACTTTTGTATAATTACTTTCTTTACCAAATGATTGCTCAATTTTACCAAATAAAGATTTGGGCGTGAGCGTGGCATTTTTATCGTTGGACCAATCTACTAAGTTTTGTAAGCAATTCGTCTTTCTGAGCCAGAATAGCGTTCGATAATGCAGCGCAAGTTCTCTCTAATAGGTACAAACGATCTTCATTGGCACTAGGCTCTTGGAAACGTCTCAATTCATAGTTGATGTTGAGTTCTATAAAACCCGGGGTAGCTAGGTATTTTTTCTGTGTTTCAGAAAAACGAATTGCATACCAATCGGTGCATTTAAATCTTTGTAACAGATAATTTAGCTAAATGAGTCTCGTTGGCATTAGGAAATGGCGGATCCTTCAGTGAAGTCGAAAATTCCGATAATTTTAATTGCTGACTATCGGTTACAACCGTGTCAGGCGGTAGGCGGAGGCCCAGCTCGCCAACCGGACAACAGACGGGTTCACTGACCTCTTGGATCGCCGGCACCACGCATGCTTGTGGCTCTAATTGCTTTTGAGTAATTGAATTAGTCAAAAAAGCTACCTGTTACGACAGAAATTCAAATCTCACGTCACTCACGATTTCCTTTCTCGATCGTTTCGGTCTCCTTTCCGGACTCGAATCTTCCGACGACGACGCACTGCTCGTACTTGGAGAACGACTTCTTCTTCGCGAGTTCGCGACTGACTTTCACCAAAATCGTCACTTCGTTGCACATTTAATATTTTCGTTCTCCATAATGAAGGGAGGATTCACTTTTATTATTAAAATATTATATACTTGGGTAGATTTTTACAAGAAAAAACAATAATTATTGCTAAGACGTGTTACCACTACGAAAGACGACGCTATAATGATCAAAAAGCCGCGCCACATTCCGGTCGCCGCCATTACCCCCACCAAAACGAGCGATGGTGGCGCCGGAAGTCGAAGGGAGGAAGTTGCTAAGACGGGAAAAAAACCATGAAAAAAGACAGGGGCTTTACTCAACAAGATGGATTCCGGATATTGGCACGGAACAAATAATATGTTGTTGAATGAGTAAAATTACTAAATTAGATTTAAGGTCTAAATTGTAAGATGCTTTGTTACTTATTTTTCTAGAAAGGAAGCAAATGCTAATAAATTTCAAGTGCTAGATACTATTTATTGACAAAATGATAACATACAACTGTTATATTAACCCATATTACATTGGAAGTTGTTTCTTTTACTCTGTTTAAGTTTTTGTTTGATTTACTTAACAAATATAATTTTGTTGTTGTAATTTAGCAAATAATTAGAGTAATTAGAATTTATAAGCAATCTGTGCAAGAGTTTTGGAAGAAAACTTGTAATGTATTGTCAAAAAAGAGCAATGAACACTTTATTGTAATTTTGTACGATATCAAGGCAGATTTCGTCTTCTCTTGCTTTGAAAGTTCAAATTGATATTATGATAGGAGTCAACCTTTTGGATTTCATTATAAGAGATACAAATAATTGTTATGTTGCTCTGGTCTTACATTAACCAATGTTTTCTAAGATATTTTTGTGAAATCTTTGCAAAATATGATCAATAGACTAGCTAGGGGAACCCACTACCCTATTATTGTAATTATTATCAATTGGCTATGGTCTTCTATTAAACGCGTACGACGTCCATAGTAATTGATACTATTGTATGGTGTATTGACGCCAAAGTCAACGTCTAAAAGTGACGCGGCTTACCTACGGTGTTTATAGGAGACCAAAGTCATAGAAAAACTATCTACTATCAACTGTTGATGTTTTTAGTTAGCTGTGTTGACATAGAACTCGTTATGTTACAAATGGCTTTAAACTCCACTGTGTAAAAGAGTCAGTATATAATAGTGAACTGGATGCCTTATTGTAATGTCATTTTGCAATTTTTATATAGCCATTTACAGTTTAACTAGCACATAGAGAACTTTTGTACACAAATATTGGCCGTAATGTATGCGCCACACAGCAATACAAACCGGTCAAGTTAACTGCGCACTTCGCGGCCGTGACGTCACATCGACGTTCTACGGACCGGGCGAACGCGGGGAGGTGTGCGGGTGAGTGCGAGGGAGAGTCGCATTCCAGCGTGGTGCGCAGTTAGCTCGATTGAGTTGTACTTATCGCTATGGACTCGAAATAACTATGTAGTTAAGGCGGGTTTTAGAATCACGCTGATCGTCGGCGCTGACAGATCAATGTGTATTGAAGGGAACGTTCCTGAGTGACGCTGATCGCTCGGCGCCGACGCTCCATGCATTTCGGCTGTCAGCGCTGACGGTCAGCGTGACTCTAAGGCTTGATTTCCTTTTAGGCTGACATCGGTGACCGACGTCAGCGGCGCGCACGATTACACACTAGTTCTTTGTAATCATCTGCCGCTGACGACGGCGTTGCAGTGCGGTGCTTCATAGAACATTGTGTTTATTCGTACGCTCGACCGATGTACGCGACCGACGTACGCGACCGACACGTCAGCGTAGGAGGAAATCAAGCCTTAGAATCGCGCTGACCGCTCGCTGATCGTCGGCGCTGACAGATCAATATGTATTGAAGGGAACGTTCCTGAGTGACGCTGATCGCTCGGCGCTGACGCTCTATACATTTCGGCTGTCAGCGCTGACGGTCAGCGTGCGTCAGCGTGACTCTAAAACCAGCCTAATGTTGTCTGTGTTAAATCAGCCAATAGATGTTTAAAGGTATTTTTCACTGCACACATAGCCAATAAAAATGATTAACATAACTCATCTGATTACTATCGAGCCTCAAATTAGTTTTAAGAAACACAAAAATAAGGTTTTCGTTAATTGCGCTACCAGTTGGCGCCACAAGCCAGTGGCGTAAACTGGTGGGCGCAATTAAGGATTACTCATTGCGCCAACTCATTTCACATTTCTGGCGCACAGCGCAGGAGAATCCAAGAAGTGTAAAAAGTAAAATTGAGTGAAATTTCACATTTATTGGTAATGGCGCGATTTTAGGCAAACTTTAGAAAGGGTGAGCTTATTTTTAGACATTTCTTCCAGTCGCCTGTGGATAATTACTAAAAGTCATATTACTTAGAATTTTGTTAACAATAATAATTTGTTAATGTTGCATTGTAAATAACTGTGATGATGCGAGAAACTTATTTATTGTATTTTGTAATTATTGTAAATAAACGAATAATTATTACCTATTTTGTTTCTTTTGATTAGAATTTAGTAAACACTAGGTTTCCGCCCGCGGCTTCGCCCGCGTGGAATTTTGTCTGCAACAGAAAAACTATCGCGCGCGTTCCTGTTTCAAAAACCGGGATAATCTATCCTATGTTTCCCGGGACTCAAACTATCTCTATGCCAAATTTCATCAAAATCGGTTCAGTGGTTTAGGCGTGAAAGCAAGACAGACAGTTACTTTCGCATTTATAATAAATTGGGGGTTCTAAATGTTCTAATAATAAAAGATGGTAATAATATATTACTAGTTTAATAAAATAATAATAAACTATTAGCAACATAACTGCCAAATATAATAATAACGTATCACAAATTCTCACAATACAATTAGCAAAGATCGAGCAAACCGACGTACACTCGCGGCCAACATTTTTGGGTAGTTGACACTATTAAATTCAATTTCAAGTCAAACCTTGAAAAGTACTTCTAGATCTAAAAATCAAGTTACTTTTGTATAATTCGTGACGTCAATCAATTTTTTTTGTCAGCTTATAAAAATAATGTCAATTAACGTGTCTGTGAGTCAACTACCCTGTTGGTATTCAAATAAAACAACTTTAAAATATTTAAAACAAGGAAAAAGTGCAGTAACATACATTGTTGCGATTAATACATAGGCTGTACATTAATTATTGCATAGAAAGCTCATACAACTCCATGTGCCTTTGTGTTACATTATAGACTCAGCTAATAATCATATCGGTCATTTCAGCATCACAACCCTTTCTAATTTAACATTTACTGAATTCAAAACTATCTGTGGTGAAACAAAACAGCGAATCTGCCTTATGACATTCAGTTTGCCAAATGTATAGACGACAGCACATCAAGTTAATCTGCAGGACCTTACGCAGTTGTAATAGGTATTACTTTGCAACAAAAATGAGTAGTTTGATGTGCTGTCGACTGTATCAATTTATATGGCATTTAAAAAAAGTGTCAGTTTTCAATTGAAAAACGTTCCATTTATTTTGTCCGCACGTGTATTCTGCAACTTTAGTGAATTAGCTACTTAGCCTAGGCGCAGACCATCGACTTTTCGTCGGCCGATAGTTTAGTCGGGCAGTTGATCAGTATAGCCATGTATGGAAGTGCGCACATTACGCCGATTCAATTTGGCCGATTATTCATACAATTTAAAATCGGGCACAACTATCGGCTACCTAAAAATCGGTGGTTTGCGCCTAGGCTTACAGTGTATGTCTTTTGACTTAGCTATGCCCTCCGGCTACGATTATAATGATCTCACAACACGAATTCACTAGCTATCCTTGTTTATTTTTTGACGTCCTTCTATTAGGCGATTCTATTCTATTGTAGTAACGTAATTTAGCCCCCCTAGACAAGTGGCAAAACGTGACAGTTGTAACTTTGAAAGGTCTTCGTTTCGGCGATTTTAGGGTACCGTACCTCAAAAAGAAAAAAACGAAACCCTTTTAGAATCACTTTGTTGTCCGTCAGTCTGTCAAGACTCTTTTTCTCAGGAATGCGTGCGGCTATCAAGCGCAGGTCTTCTGTCCTTTGGAGCTGTGAAAGCTGCTATATTTGAAAATCAACCTTTAAAAGCAAGCGGAAGATCGTGGGTTCGAGTCCCGCCTTAGGCAGTTCGATTTTTTCAAGTTGTTTATTTAAAACTTTTAAAAGGATGTCAAAAAATAAATAGGACCATAAATTAGGCGTAAGGATGTATTCTTAGTGATCAATATTATTTAGTTTTGTAAAATTGCCTTTCGAGCCCCGACCGAATCTCTAAAGCAGGGTATTACAAAAATATTCACTGAGAATATATCCTCACAGCATGCTAATATTCGCCCGTATTCACAAACATTACAGTAAATGAGGTCTCACAGTGCGCGTGGACGCACAGGGTGACACACGAACCAATCACAGAGCTTTCAACGCTGTGCGTTCGATTTGCTGCTTCACTTATGCTAGCATTGTTTGTGAATACGGGCGATTGAATCTTAGAAATAAACTACACACAATACAATGCAATGCAACAAAATATTCAACATACAAAATAATAACAAATGTCTTAATAAATATTTATAAATAAAGTAAATCTAGTAAATTTGATACATATCTTATCTAATTATTTATTTATAAACGGAATTAATTAATAATTAATTAATATCTTTCTTACAATTCACAACATCGATCTCGCAACCTACATAGCATGGACTAGCCCCCTTAATCAAACAATGTTTTGTCTCTTTTCATCAAATTGAAATCAACATTTGACAGAGAGAGACAAAAAAATAGAACGATACGAAGTTTTAATTTTTATTGATAAGTAGAAAATAATATACAGGGTGTATTCCAAAACGCTAAACTACCAAACCACGTGACCTCTAATCCATGCTATGGCGGTGCATGTTACACAAAAAGCAATCTTATTGCTTACACGATACTTATTTATTTCACGCAACAAGCACGTCTTTTATAGTAGACTGTCGGTTACATACAACTTTACAATTCGAAAGTACAGTCGAACTCGTAAATTATAAACATTAATTATATTCCTAAAATCTTAAATTAATAGTTTAGTAGTTTTATAATAGTGGCAGTTTAATTTTAATACAAAATAATCTCGTTTGACATTCATAGAAAATAGATCTAAGTTAAGAGAATTCGTTGTACAATGCTTGAAGATTGCGAGTTTGACTGTACTTTCGTTTCAAATTCAATCTTAAAAGGCACTGAAAAGCTTTATAAACAATGTATTTTGTGTTTGTAATGTTTAAAAATAATTTTTAATATCTACACATAAATAATTAATTTGTGATGTGACTATAAGTGACAGCTAAAAATAATATGTAGTTTGTTTTAACATAAATAACTACAAAATGTTAACTCTCGACTAATTTATCTACTTTTTAATTTAAAAAATGGTAACATAATTTTTTACAAAATATGTATAACCTCTTTTTGTTGTACTTA